GTCTCCATGTAATGGAAGACCTGGCACCACTGAGTGTGCCTACTCTCTCTCCTTCCCCACGGCTGGGGCTTGGGACTGAGACAGGAACTTTTCTGACCCAAATATTTTAATGACCTCTCAGTCATGAGTCTTTGGCTTCCCTGGGATCTCAGTGGCTCAGTGCTGTGGAGGAGAAGAAGCTGGTGCCCTGCTCACCCCTGGCCTACTCAGGGCCTTCCAGATGACACAGTCAGCTCTGGGAAAGGCAAGCATGGTGCATGGGGAGCACTGAGAACTAGGAGGGACATAGGATAACATATTAGGGTCTCTCACCTACCTAAGTGTTAATGTGCCTGGGGAGAGATGGGGAATGAGAGCTTCTGCCCACGCACAAGTCGTTTGCTTTCGATGCTGCCCCTGTAAGACATCACTTAATATGACATTAATTAGTTAATGTTTGCAAAGTGCTTTGAACATGAAAAGTGATGTATAAGTGCCGAATATTAGTACTAATTATCATGGCATGGAAGCTGGCGCTGTCTGAGGAGCATTCCCCACACCTAATTTCAGGCTGGTGCTGCTTCCCYGCCTCTCCGCCTTTGCTGCCTCATCACATCAAAGCAAGATAGAAAAGGGGAGAAGCATCTGCACCCTAGGAGGAAGCAGCCCCTCATGGAGTTTGTGGAGGGGGCAAGATATGCACCCCTTGATTCCAGGCAGGACTTTGCATAGGAAGTATACCCACTCCCCAGTGACCCACATGAGGGAGCACACTCTTGCCCCARGTGCTGCAGCAGGCCAGGATTGGAAACATCACAGGGAGGATGGAGAAGATGCAGGGGGGTTCCTGAAGGTCATCCCACCTATGCCTGAGTGGGAGCACCCAGCATTGGTGGAGGCTTCAGAGTCAGGCAAGGAGATGAGGAGGSGGTGAGAAGGTTTTGGGGTCTGTGCACTAGACAGGGTGGGAAGGCAGTTGTCTCCTAGATGTGCATGTGACAGGGCTGGGAACTCCCTGGTGTCCCCCATACAGGCTCCTGGCCTGCTTTGCTGCCTTTCCCCTCCTTGTGCCCTCCTTCTTGGTGAGGCTGCTGCTGGGAAGGGTCCCTGGAGGAGGAGCAGAAATGGGTCGGCGGGTGCCCCCAATCACCGTGGCAGTGAAGTGTCCTGCCAGCTGGAATGCTGGGGTGGGTGTTAGGTGCTACCAGAAGCCCAAAGAGCGATGAGCTGGAGGAGGTTGTGCTGGAGAGGGTCCAGTGAGGGTCAGAGTGGGAAYCCACTGGTGCTGGCCTGGGGATACAGATGCTGAGCACAGGTATCACCTGTGTGAGGTGCATTGGGCAGCAGGGAGAACTGCAGCGCTGTGATCACACTGCAACCATCAGTGTCTGCAGGGGCTCCTGGAGCCAGCTGTTCCTTCTTTGCTGCTGCCAAATTAACTCCCCATGTCCCACCTGCTCATCCAGCTGGAGGTCTCACTTGTCTGCCATGGGTCAGACCCTGGCCACACTTCAGAGAAGCTTTGTCACTCATGTGACTGTCCTTCCCTATCACCCCTCTGAGCTAGTGGTGGCAGAGTCTGATGGGGATTCTGATCTGCTTCAGCAAGCCATGCAGGGTCTCATGGCAAGTGAGAGCCCAGTGCATGGTGAAGGGACCTCAGATCATTGGTGGCACCCTTGCTGCCCATGGTGAGAGGTGCATGAAGGGGACATGCCAGGAGCCTATTCCCCTTTGTGGGGATCTCACCTCCCTGCTCTGCTGCCACCTTATTTGTTTCTGGGTCTGCATCTCCAGCTATCTCAGTTATTCCCTGCTCCAGGCTCCTACACTGAGCGTTTCCACCAGGCACCTGCTACTGAGGATATTGCTAGAAATCCCATGAGTGGCTGAACAAAACCCCAAAACAATGCAAGGGTCACTTTCTTTTTTCTCTTTGAACCCTCTGTTATGTGTGAATTCTGACCTTGCTGACAATTGCCCTGCTGCCATGAGAGCCACTGTCTTCCAGTAGAAGTTGCAGCACCAGCCTTTGTGGTATCTCCACCCCAAAAAGAATGGAACAGGAGGGGAGATGCTAGAAGCTAGAGAGAGGCTGGAGCAGATGTTTTGGAGGGCAGCAGAAAAAGCCCACATGTGTGACTTGAATTCACATTTACTTAAAAAATAGTTGTGGCAAAGTCCTCTCCTCTTGCCTCATCTGTTCTTGTATCTCGAAGACTATCTTGAAGTAAGACCATCCTCTGAATCTATAGTGAAGACAAAATTGCCCACAGCAGTAGATTCTCTTGCTAGGTTTTGAGGTACTCTTCTGCCACCTTTAATCCCCCCAATAAATCCACATAAACGAGGACCAAGTTATAAAAAAAAAATCTTTATTTCATGTACCAGGATTTTTTTTTTTGTAATTTTCTCTTTTTAAAATTTTTTTCTTTTTAACAGTCTGAAAAAAACCACAAAATAAATAAAATGGAGGTTGGTTTCTTGTACTGATTTGAGCTGGACATGAGCAACACCCTGGGGAAAGAGCTTCCCCGCCAGCCCTTTCCTCCTGCACACGCTCTCCCAGCGCCCACCCCCTCTCCCTTCCCGCCTGGCCCCGGGGCGCGCTCAGCCCTGTGAATGCTCCCCAGCTCCGAGCAGTGTTTGGTGGGGATGGAAGCCCCAACGCCGCCTTCCCTTTACGCTGGGATCTGGGGAACTGGCTTTAACTTGTTCCTGGAGGGGGTGGATGTCCCCTGTGAATCTTTTTTAAGGGGCTGGGGGGCCACAGGAGGGGATGTCAGCAGTGGGGTGGGGTCTGAACACCCAGCCAAGGCGCTCGCATCCACTTCTTGCCCTGTGATGCCGCTTTTGGGGGTGACCCCGTCCCTGTGCTGCCYCCCGCCCTACCCCAGAGCGGGGATGTGGGTGGGGAAGTATCAGTGCGTCGCGGGGGAGCAGGGAGGATCCGGCTGCTTTAAAGCAGAAACCCCGCTGGGACCGGGAGCGGGCCCTGCGCAGCTCCTGAATTGGAGCAGCAGGAATGGGGACAGAAAAAAAGGCGAAAAGTGGGTCTGAGCTGCTGAAGGGCTCAGCGGTCCCATCCTGCAAACCCTAGGCTTTGTGCCGGCCCCGGGCGCTTCTGCTTTCGGGGGGCAGCCCTAAAGGGGTCCTGTCCTCGCCCCGGGCTGGCCGGTGTGTCGTGGGGTGTCACGGAGGTCCCCCATCACCCCTGCTGCCACCTCCCCTCCCGCCTCTCCCGGCAGCGGCTCTTGCGGAGGGAGCCGCATTACCCGGTGCCCCCTCCCCCGGCGCGGCAGGGAGGAGGGGGCGGCAGCCAGGCCGGGGGCCCGGGGCGGAATGGGGGGCCCAGCTTGTCTTGCTGCTCGGGAGGAGACCACGGCAGGCGGGGACCCCCAGGAGCCGGCTCGGGAGGAGCACAAGCCCCAGCGGGCGTGGGGACACCCGATGGCTTGGCACCTCTGCCTGGCACGGCCGCGGGGGCTCGGGGGGCTCTGTGGGACGGGTCGGGCAGCCTGCGGCCGCCTTTGGGGCAGGGTGTGCTGGCTGCCCCCCCGCGAGGACGGCAGCGACTTCAGGGGCGGCTGGGTGACCTCACCATTTCCCCACATGGCTGCAGCSCCACTTATGGGACCTAAGGGAGATCTGGGCATATTTGAGGGGTRTGTGAGCACCCTGGGGAGCCTCTGGAGCATTCACAGGAGAGCATTGCGCGCACCTGGGCACGAGTGTGGGAGCATGGGCACATGTGTGCGCGAGTGCTGTCCCCCCACAGCATCATCATCCTAAAAGTGTGGGAGTCCCAGCTGCCCTCCACCAGCCCTCCCTCCCCACCTGTGCCTCCCACACAGCTCCCTGCTGCCGCTTCTCCTTTTTTTTTTTTTCACAGTTTAAAGCTGAAGAAAACAAAAATTAAAAGAAAAAAATACTATCTGTTCTTCTTGCAAGTAAATCCACTTATTATATTTACACTTATTTATAGCTGTTGTTTTATTTAAAAAATTGCCACTATTTTTTTAAGAAACCTCTTTTGTTTTGTCTCTGCGTGTGTGTTTTCATTTACGTGTCTGTTTATTTTTTGCACTGTCACCGTTAACCCCAGGGTCCCCAGGGCTGGGGAAGTGGGGCCCCCCCTGGGGACACTGTGGAGGGGTGACTCAGCATCAGCTCCTGCACTCCCTAGGGGCAGGAGCCACTCTAAACCCCTACGGACCTGTGGGGGATGAGCAGATCCCCACGGATCCCAGGGAAATGGAGTGGATCCCCATGGGTCTCAGGGGAACAGAGTGGGTCATGGCTAACTCTGGCACCCAAGATCCTCCATAACTGGACCAAGGACACCAAAGTCACTGGCAGCCGAACCCCCATCCCCTGTTCCCCAAGGAGCCTGTGCTGGGCTAAAGGTAAGTGGGAAACAAACCATAAAACTAAAGAATAAAACCTCCCAAAATTAAAAGAGCTGCCTCCTCCTCCTCTTCCTCCCACTTGTTTTATTGTCATTTGTTATTTCTTGGTTCCCTTTTATTTTTTTTTAATCTGTTTTTATTAAATGTTAAAATAATGGTACATGGGAAATCATGCATTTTCTTTTAAATTTATTTCTATTTTTTAAATCTCTCTCAGTTTTAAAGTTTTTCTTTTTTTTCTTTCTTTTGCATTTTTTTTAAA